TCACTATCTGCGCGCGCGCCGCTGTAAAAGCTCATTGTAACCCGAGCCTCAAATACGAAATTGAATAATGCTGACCTATCCTGCGACCGCCCCGGCCATAAATCACCGAGATATTTATGTCCCTCTGCCCCCGTGTGCCTGCCCCTCGCCGCCCGCGCCTTTTTCGCGGCCTGGGATATAAAATATTTAAATAAAAACTTTCATAAAATGGTAAGTAAGTCCGATTGGAATCGGAGAAGTGCAAGCGTTGCGGTCGTGCGCCTACTCTGCGGTCGGCCGAGATGCCGAGCTGCCGGCCTAGTCGGCGAGACGTCGCTAACTGATTTTGTAATAGAAAAGCGATACTGCGGACTCATAAATCTCCTTGGGATTTTATGAATTGCGCAAATATAATATACGTGTATTTTACAGCCCTGATATAGGCAGCGGACTTGAATAATTGAGTCGCATCGTATATTATTCAATGTATTAATGTGTTGATCACTGTTCATCATCATTCAATGTTTTAACTTTAAACATTAGTGATTTTCTTCGCCATTTCCTAAAGCAATTTAATTAATATTAAGTACTATAACATTAACCAGTTATGATGGAGAAACGCTGAAGAATTGATGTCCCCCCCCCCCACATATCCCAAAACAATTATAGGGCGAGTTTCATAAACATAGAATTTTTTTACACACATTCCCACCGTTCCGCGAATAATCAATTATATTTTGCTAACGTATACTTATATTATAATACGCACAACATTAGCGGTATACATTAAAATTATTCAGTCAAAAATGTCGAACATAAATCAAAACAATAATTCATTAGGAAAGATTAAGAAGCCGTGGGAGCAGCATAAATCCCGGCGTCGCCTCGGCACGGCATCGGCAGTTACTCAGGCAGCCTCCAATGGAGCGAGCGAGACGTTTATCTCAGAAGCACGCCATGTAACGCACCGCATCGCTTCCCGTGCGCATTAACTTTACGTATATTCCCTCTTATTCATGAGAAATAAATAATACTATTAGAAGGAGATACCGATTCCTGATAAAAACTGGGCCCCGAGTTAAATGGGAGGCACACTGGAGGCAGAAAGAAAGTAATGGAGGAACGAACCGGTTTGGAGATTTTTACGAATGCAAGGCTGAGAGCGGGGCCCAGCTATGTGCCGCGCCGCGCCGGCACATAACGTTACCCACGGCGGATTCGCGCCGCGGCCGCGCACACACACACCCGCGCATCGTCTGCTGTGCTCTGCGCCCCGGACCATTATCATCGGCATATAACTGGTAACCGAGTGAGCACATTAGGCTATTAAAATATTTGCTGCACAAACTGCTGTCCGCATTTAAATAATTGTTTGCGCACCGACAAGACGCATCCTTGAGTGTGCGACAACTATTTCAGGAACCTTCATTGTGACGCGAAGCGAGGAGGCGTACGCGCTCACCATTAGCGCAAACAACTTGCTTGATGGCCGCTAAATCAAGTGAACTAATTTTAACTACCGGCAACGATGGATCGACATTGCGGCAAACATTCATTTCAAATAACGGCTTCGATAAACATGTCAATATCGTTTAGGCCACTATGATTAACTCTGGATCGACTTTTTGTCATTGAAGGTGATTGAATAGTAAATAGATTTTTTACGTGAACATAAAGTAAAAGACTTTGCTGGTTAAATGGTGATGAAGACAATAACTTAAATTAAATTTTTGATACGTTCTAGTACTATAAATTTAAATTAGCAAAAATCACTTCGATTTTATCTTATTAAAACGCTATTTCAAAATGAAAAGTATTTTAGAACTTAGTTGAACTAAAAGGCTTTAATTCCACTTAACAAATGTTACGAATAAAACGTTTTTACTATAATATTTTTATCACCCCCAAAAAGATCTATCAAAGCATCGAAAGAAAGCAAAGATCGAGCAAATCCAAACGGATTGAAAAAAAAATATTTTTTTTATTAAAACAGAAATTATTTGATACTTAAAACAAAAAACAATCAATGACATAAGATCAAATCCTAACCTAGCACAAGTTCAGATCATTTGGTAAAGATTAGTATTAATAGCTAATTAACATAATTGAATATAAATATTTGTCTGACATTAAATAAAACTGGCCATGGAATGACCAATGAAATGCTTAAAACACTTTCACAACTCGTATGAAGACTTTTGATAGGTTTATAATTTTTTAAACAAGTTGGCTTCAAATCAAAGATGATCAATTTAATATATGACCAATGAGTATATCCTTAGGAGTTGTTACATATATTTGTATGATAAATGAATTTTTCACACATGGTAACTATTGGGACTAAAGATTGATAACACAAAATAAGTAATCATTGTTTTGAAATGCAGCATGTAGTAATGAATTTGGCGTGAACATAAAAAAGCTATTAAGATCAGTGAAATCTGGACGTAAGACGAGATTAGTGTGTCGCGTTTCGAAATGACCTACTTCCTACAGGAAATAGTACGAGCGCAATGGCGAATGTTTGTTTGTTTGTCAACATGCGCTCGTGTTTGTTGAGCCATTAGAGCGCGGCGTTCGTAAAGGCTGAAACTGGACAAAGCGATGAAACCTGAACTCAACTAAGCGCATTAGCCGATTTATTTTTATTTAAAGCCTTTTGGATTCTGTATAAAGACTTTCGCGACTATCAACTCTATTGGGGCAGACAGAAAGAAAAATTGCTATTTAATTTTCACAGATGCATTAATCAATCTCTAAAGATACCGTTAACGCGTGTTATAACCAATAAAGACTAATTACTTTTGATGCCCTATCCACGAAGCTCATAAGTATCAAATTTAAAGTTTAAGGTTTAGCAAAAAAAGATCAAATATTTTAGAAAATATTGAACAGTCGCATACTTTTGTGTCCATAAAACCCACTGCGGTTAGCAAAATGTCCATGGCCAAACGCGGTGGACATCGGCCTTTAATGTGTCACAAGACCATCTCAATCATGACACATGGATTAAACTTATTTAAAAAATAACAATTACAGTGCATTTCCACTAACTTTATTCTGTATGGTACACTTATTTCCTTCAAATTTACATCTATTCAACGTTAACCTATGTAAATATTTTACACGATTAAATATGCTTGATCTCAATTTGTTGCCAGATAAAAATCTGCCCCTAAAAATTAAAATACTCACTACTGCCCCTTAAAATACTCACTAACTATGAAAATGTTCTCAACAGATTTGCACTACTATTGTTATTGAAACACTTTTAAAGCCTTACTACTAGAAATAGCCTTAGTAGTTAATGGTTTGACAGTCTAGACTTTGAGCCCTACGTTTTGTCAATTTTCATATCCTTACAACCTTGCCTTGTTAAAAAAAAATCACCTATTAACCTACGTTTTATTACAGTTACGTTTGAATTTAAATTTTACCACAACAAAGCTATCGGTGGACATTTTCCTACTTGAGTCGTTAATCTTCCGTAAAATGAGCGTAAGTATTCTTCAACTATTCGCAAGTACAAACTAAATATTTGATCATGAAAGTATTGTGAATTTAAAACAAGAACAAATATTATTATACATTGCCAAAACCAGACAGATATATAAACTTTTTTTTTAAAAATTGTCATTTTAAAACACGTACACGCACCTTTAAAGTACAAATAAGTATTTGTTCATATAATACGAAACGGTAATGTACGTTAAATATCAATATTGATCTACGTATAGAAATCCGACAAAGTTTTTCGGTACAACGTAATTTCCATTTAATGTGTACGTTGTATATCACTTGCATAATACGTGTTAATTCTACGACACACATTAAACATTTTATATTAAACAAGGGCATTATACAAGACCTTTCAGAGTACTTCATATTTCTGTATCGGATACAGCAACACAATAAAATTAAATAAAAACAAAATCTTATAAGTGTGATTTATTATGTTCTTATTTAAACGTAAATTTTTGAAATGGGATATAATATCACTTTATATTTGGTCAAACATAAAAAAACCTTTGGGAGCACTGTACTACAAAATTGAAATGGAAAAATTAATAAAAATCAAAAACATTACTATGCTTGTGTCTTAAAGTTTTCATGCAATGTATTCAAGTGATATAGCTTGAAAATCACACAATATATAATAATGCCGAATAGCGGGTGTTTAAGCTAAGATGGACAAAGTTCGAATCGCTTCAAGTGTTTTGACTGTAAAATATAATATTAATTTTCAGTTTTTTCATATTTACTTTTATACAATAAAGTTAAACTATTTTACTTTTTCAACAGTAAATAAAATTAAGGAAAATTAGATTTTTTTCTAAAAGAGTCTTATAAGTACAAAAGCAAAAAAGGTATTTTTTGATTATAATGTTAAGTTATTCGATCTTGGGTCTCCGTATTTGAAAGCGGTCCATGCGACCAATGAGCGCTCATCTTTGTAATTTGAACGTATGCAATCCACAAAAATTAAGAGTATGATTTGAAAGTGCTATGTTTATGCTTATTAAAATTTTAAGGAGCAACATAAAGAATGCACACTACAATGAGGTAAGAGCAGACAATTAGTTTCCCGTAAGTTTCTTTATGCTATGCACAAAACATTGTGAATGACAACGACAGGACTTCGGACACCCTCTGCTGCAACTTTACGACAGTCATATATTTACCAAAACCGGCATCAATATTGAAAAGAATTCATCATTCATCCATTAGTCACAGAGACAAAACGTTTGTTGTCGATGGCTGCGTAATTGCCGCGCTACAATCGTAACACTCGCTACGAAGCTACCGTAACGCCCGCAATTTGTCCCCATTGTTCCGCGGACGGTAATGTTTACACCGGCGATTGTCCCTGCCCGCGCACTGAGGACCCGTTTTCAAAACAGAGGACGCCTCATGAAACCCATTGTTTCAACAACGGCCAACTTTAAATCGTCGACCGTCACACATGGAAACTCGCATGAAAACCTTATCAATCAAGAACTATAACACTCGAATGCACTTACTTGTGTCATGAGACGGTCGGCGCCCGTGCCCTCGTCATCCCTGAAGTCGATGTCAGGGTTGTAGTTAGGCACCAAGTCTCTGAACTTCTCGTCGTCCCTGGTGATGCGGCCCTCGGGGGGCCCGCTGGCGGACTTGGAGTTCTCGCCGATGTTGGGGTCGTGCTGGTTGAAGACAAGGGGCGTGATGCGGCGCGGCCCGTGGCGGCGGGTGAAGCCGCGGCCCGGCCCGCACGCCGCCGCCGCGCCCAGCCACAGTAGCACCAGCGACAGCCTCATCTCGCAGACATCACTCCACGCGCGCTCGACGCACGACCAACGCGCGCCGCGATCAGAGCGACACTGAGCCCGAGAGTCCGGCGCGGCCGCCCGGCCACCACCGGCCCGGCCTGCATCCCCTGGGCGCGCGCCACCGCACCACCCGCGCCACCATCGCCACGGACACCGCGCACACGGCGGTTACCGCGCTCGCCTCTCATTTCGCTGCTTCAAAACATTCCATTCACCGATCCTGTACAAATTCCTCTCATAAATGTTCGACGTCTTCTTAATTTCCTCGTTTTATTAAATTACAATAATGTGTAACATTATTTAAGTAACATCTATAATCTAGATTTACATAATATCGATAACGAAGATTTTGAAGCTTAAACATACTCAGGTAGAAAAATAATTTTAGCACATTTAATTTCACTTGATACAATACAGTTTTTAATATTACACTTTTATAAAACGCGAAAGTTTTTGAAGTTACTTCTTTGACAATATTGTTGACGTCGCGTACTGCCGCGCGTCAAGCTCGGTCTGCTATAAACAAAATTATTGAATTAGTGAGGTAACTGGAAAAAACATACCTTCCTTTATTCGGTTGTTCAAAGTATGTATGCATTCTATTATAATATTGAGAATCACTTTAAACTTTATGTCATTGAGCAAAGATTTTTTTATTTAAATTAACAACTTTTAATTTTAACTATTTTCGATGTTTATTTTCTTTTAGTTTCACCTTTTTTTATAACGCGTGGTAGTGATTTGTTAACCTGTATCGACTATGACTTCTATTCTTTTTTATATTTGTAGGATTCGTTTTTATTTTGAATGTTTTTAAAAAGTACTTGGTTAACTTTATGCGTAAATGAAACGTTTTACGAACTTTATAAGAACCTTAGAAATACCTTTTTTTATTTATAGCGTATATAAAGTGACTAGACGCACGCGACTACTACATATTCATTTCTATACTATTCGTATTTGAAGCCGCATCAGTGGAAATGAAAACAGACGCTGGTAAAAAAGGGTCTACGTTATTTTAATAACCTATATAAACAAAATTGTTACATTTTACAATCACGGAAACGCGACTTAGGAAAACCAGAAACGCGTACGATCATATGCAAATAAAACATTGAACTGAGCTAAAAGATTGTTAACACAATAATCATGTGCTCTGACTGTGAGTTTCTGAGACCAAAAACGCCGTTTAAAACATAATGTTATCTCTGTTTTGTCAAAGATAACGACAGAGATGACGATATGTTTCATACAGATGATTCGTGTCAGAAACCAACGGGTTTTTCGGTGACGGTTTTTCCGAACATTAACTATATACAGGCTGGAAGTAAGCAATTAACAGCTATTGTATGTACATGCCACATGTAAACATTACTGAAAATAAATTCACGTTACATAGACTAAATACCACCAATCCCAGGTCATGTTTAAAGATTTGTACGTCGGTGGATGTTAAGTGGGGAAACACAATTAGGACTTCAACGTATTTACCACGATGTCACACAAATATGAGGTATTGAGCTGTTAACGATCTATTGTTTGTATTCGTCTGAGTATCCATATAGGTATATTTGAGAATACGTTAGCACCGCCGCCTAAAGTCTAGATAAGTGTTTGTAGAGAACTGAAACCAATTGTCTGGACAATGTAACACTTCAAAGATAACGAGAATCTCTTTTCATAATTATAGTAAACGATGTGCTCATTCATTGTTTATAATTTTCTTGTTAAATTAAATAAGGCAAGAGTACAATAGCATCAGACTATGGGTACGGCAGGATTTATACAATAGTGTATAAACATACATTACCCCTGAAAATATGACCCTCTTGTATGTTACTCCTATCACAAAGAACTACGCGACGCCTGATTTTATCACTTAATATAAACTACATTTGCATTTACATTATATTTTGTAAAGCGTCGGCGGGGACTACACACTTGCCAAATATTCTAGTATTAACGTTCTTTAGAAATTTTTAAAGTGTTAAAAAATATTAGTTGTTTAAAAAAGAAATCAAGTTAAATTTTATAGAGCATCAGAGTTTGCTGCTAAACTTGTTACCTTGTAGACTTTTACTAAGTTGTAAAAAATTTAAGAACAAAACATATTATTTAACGACGCAGTCTTCATCAAAAATACAAAAAAAAATAATGATAAAATCAATTTGTCATAAAAATGTACAAGTTTTTTAAATATATTCATTTAGGGTCAAGATACCCATTACTAGATTTACACTCAAAGAAACAACGGCTCGGCTTCCCTTTCAACTCTGACCTAGAAAATGGTCGCTTTAGAGGGAAATTTATATGCACATTTACATAACAGAGACTGCCCGTTTAGGATAATTTGTACGCATTGCGACGAGTTTGTACAATAAAATGCATGGCGCGCATAATCAGCCCATAAGTCATATGGATTCATGTTTTGTTTTTATCCCGAAACAAACACTCGCTCGGAAGATACGAAACATCCCATACAATGCTCAATAACTACATAGCATTTATGAGATTACAGTATGTATGTATAGCATAGTACATTATAGTAATATGTTTTAAAGTTTTTACGAAATCTATGTTCTTACGTAACATATTATCGCGGTAACCACAACAATCGATGTCGGCTTGCGCAAGCACATCTGAGTACATGCGAATCCACAACAACACAGCGTAATTCAGTACACACATTATATTATTCAGTTTTATAGTTTTAATACACAACGTGAACAGTTTTTAATTTCCAGATAGTTCACTTTCATGTATCAATTTCAGTGCTAAAAAGTTCTATGTCAATTTTTTGGGTCCAAAGATTGGTAAAATGCTGAAATTGATTTGAAAAAGTTCACATTTGCATAAAAATAAATTAAGAAATAATTTGTTTAAAATTAGATTCACAAAAAAGACTTGTTTTAAATGTTCACGCCTTTAATGTTTTTAAATTTAAACATTAACAGTTTTTAGAAAATAGATCTGATTCCAAGGAACAGACTAACTGGTTACCAATCTATTATTATTAACTACGTTTTATCGAAAACCAGAACAAAGGTTCACAACATTCTTTATCGAATATACCCAGAAGTGACGAACCCATATAGTAATAGTTGCAGATAAAATAGAAAAAAAGCGTGAATGTCTTGAGCTTGGGAACCAACATTCCGCATTTCCGAACGCCTCTTATCAATGACTTTAACATCTATTCAACGCTTACTTTAATCCGTTCGTAAACTAAAGAAAACTGTTTTTTACTTCCTCCGCGTTGCATTTATCTGTTACTGCAAAAAAAAATCAAGTCTACACCTGCATTTTTACGTGTAACTGTTAATAATGAGTAATTAGTAAAAGAAAAGGTAGGAAGTGACGTAACAGTGAGATATAAGGACAACGTTTATGACCTCTTTTCATTTTTTTACATAAATATCGGCGCCTGCGCTGATAGCGGCAAACCACTAAGCAAGTGTCCAGAGGTACAATACCCATCATTCACACGCAATAAACTAAGCCAATAAGCAAGGGTATTATTGCTTCGATATGATATCTGTTCATTCATAAAATGCTTAATTTAATAACTAATTTAATACTTACTTACTTACTAATACTTACTTAATTTAATACTAATGTCTTTCTTATATAAAACTACAAATATAAAGCAATTTGTAAATATAACTTGTAAAGGCATTAAAAAATTTTATAATTGAAAATTCGTTTTCTATGACTTATTTATCAAGTGATGCCGAATAATAAAATGTCTCACGAAAATTTTACCATTTTTTCCTGGGTTTAATTTAAAATCACTCTTTTTTATTTTTAAAAGGCTACGGAACCTTACTGGTGAGGGTTTCGATCATGTAAAATAACACTAGTGATCTGTCAAGCCGCTTAAAGGCAGCCAAAACAAACTATAGCAAGTGTCGCGCCGGCACCTACGACTCTGTGCCAGAGCAAACAATATTTTCGACAAAAGTCCGACCGAGGTGTCGGCGGAGACTAATGGAGGAGAGTGCTGAACCAATACGCCCGGCTCTCTAGTGTTTTAAACTGTTTACTCTACCATAAAGCTCTCAAAGTACTCACATTCGTCCGGTGGCTCACTCAGTCAAATGTAATGCGGGAATATTAATGACGAATGGATTCTATTCGATTTATGCTCGAACAGATAATACGGTTGCTCTTATAAATTTCAATCAAAATTTAAGTAAAGTTTAGATTTAGTTTAGTTTAGTTATTTTTAATACTAGTTATAACTTAGGATATTAAGTCGATTTTGAAATAAAATCTAACTGAATGTACAAATTGATATTCCATCATGAATGGTACGCACCATACCACAAAGGAAAATAAAAATAAAAATGTGAAAATAAAAATTAAACAAATTTTAGCATAGCTGTCAAATTCCATCACGGTATTATAAAAGATATTTAAGAAACATGCCGCCAAAAGTTCTTATAAAGCGCTTGAAGTCCAAATAAAAAGGCAAAATATCCAGATTGGTAACAAGAACGAGGGTCCATATTGATTAGAATGCCTAGATCCGAGTTCGCTAGCCTTTTGTCGATTATTCGAATCCTATTTTTTAAAGAACGTGTCTAAACGTTTATATTGTAACTTTGATTATTTTTTCATTAAATAATTCTCACTTTATATAACATTAAAATATTACGATATGACATTCGTTGATTATTGTTATTAATATTTATTTTATTAAATTCTAAAGTATGAAAATTCTTTCATGCATAGTGTCAGCAGTAGGCAGATAAAAACTGATGATGAATCATCATGTCATCAGACAGAAGCAGTGAGTTATGTTGGAATGCAAATATTTTAATTTAAGATTTCCCCGACAAAAGCAATAATTGTACAAAGACGCTAAAGGTTATTAAATTGACCAACATTTTTAAAAACGCGTAAAAACATTTTATGTTTGATATTTAGTAAGTTTTAAAATTTCTATCACCACAAATTTTCGTCCTTTAGAGCCATATAAATGCACATTAGTTTATAAAGATACAAAGTGTAAAGGAGTCAAACCAGTTCGGATCATGCGTTGCCCTCTAATTGACAAATTGGAATCTTATTAAAATAAAATTCAAGTTCGTAACTGAAGGTAGCGAGGCGCAGGCGCAGGCACTCACGGCGCACGGACACACGGCGGACGAATTTCATGTCGACAGGGTCGCCTTCCGAACGGGGGCCGACTATGTCCGAAGTTGCGCGACCGGCGCTCGGCGGCAAGAAGAAAAAGTAAGCAGCATTCGAAGCGCGTGCCTCGATGTGTGTGGTCCACTTTGGAGGTCCTCTTCGACTTTTGATTTATTGAAATCTGATTTTCGCACCCTTTTCGTTCAATTAAATTACAGGTGAATGTGAATTAATTTTATGCACATATTTAACACTATTTTATGGTCCACGCGGAAGTGGTAATTCGATTTTTTTTAAAATAACTGATTTTTAAACTGTGTTACAGGTCTCCTTAATTTAATTGAGGTTTATATTTTAAATTTAATTCAGGTTACTGATTAAATTGAAGCTAATTAAAGCAGAAACATCTTTTAAATATTGTATGTGGAATATTATTATTGGTATTTATTAAAAATAAGTCTA